ATTTTTTTTTTTTTTTTAATAGCACATTTGGTTTCATAACTCAACACTACAAGTGAAAGATGATGAGAAAAGTAGTGGAAATGACACGCATATAAACCATATTTTCGATACGCTCGCGTCATGAGTTGTTTTGACGTCCGAGTTGCGGATCAGTCGCGACCAGTGGACAGAACATTTAGGTTGGCACCACAGCCAGCATGCGGATTGTGTTCCAAGGTCCTGCGTTCGTATCTTCACAGTTTCGAGGTTCTGGGTTGCGATCTCGGCTCCGACTCTTGTTTTGTGGAGTTTACCTTCTTACTTGCGTCACGCTCCCCACGCGTCTCCAAAAACATCCAAGCTAGGTTCACTGGATGCTCTAAATTGTCCATGCCTTGGAGTGGATAAAAAGTCCGACTGACAATTCTGAGGGCTTCATCCAGAGCCGATTTTTACCTCGGTTTAAGCTTGCTTTTCAAAATCGGTGGCCAATTTCGGACTACTTGGGGGTAAAATGGAAAGGACCAGAGCAGAGAGAGCCATGACATGTCCCAGCCACATCATCTTTGCCCTCTTGTGGGGAAGGTGGCTAGCACGCGTCAACCAACTGGTCATTTACGTCAATCCCAAGGCCGCACTCCTTACTTTTCTGTTCTTGGTTTCCAGGAAACATATTAAGGAAACGGCCTTGGGCCAAAAAAAAAAAAAAACATCATTGTTTGGCTCACTGATACGTTCTTCAATTCTGGCAGTGAAAACCGACAAGCCGACTTGTCACCGGCGACGCTGAAAAAATGCTTAATTACCCACCAGCGACTTCTCGTCCTTCATTCACTCAAGTCGCTGGCCTGGTCTTCGAGATGAGCCAAAAGTGTGGCAAAAATAACTGGAGTGATTTTAACGGGGATTTTCCAGGCGGCCGCGTGGGACCGGGATGACGCAAGGGACGAAGGATGTCAGAAAACCATTTAGGAAAGAACAACCGCGACAAGTTAGGGGAAGAAATAATTGAATTTGTCTCTTGTCAGGTTGTACAATGTTTTTTTCCCTTCTAATGTACCGGATTTTTCGGACTATGTGTCACATTTTTTTTTTTTCCCCAGAGTTTGGCTAGTCCTTCGACGAATAGTCAAGTGTCACTTGTACTGTGCCAAGTATTTGCCACCTTCATTGCATATTTATCACACACACAAAGGTTTCAGTTCATCAAACCGATTTTCAGATCACGCAGAGACAACCCAAGGAAATAAAAAAATGCAGTTTCTAAATGCCAATAAAATTTATTAAGGCACAAAAAAAAAAATCCAAACCTCACTGTACCGATGGGAAAAAGTAACCGCCTACTAATGAGTTGTGCAACCCTTGGCGACAATAACTGAAATCAAGCTTTTGCGATAATTGGTGATGAGTCTTTCACATCGCTTTGGAAGAATTTTGTCACACTCTTCTTTGCACAATTGCTTCAATTCCGCCACATGGAGGGTTTTCTAGCATGAACTGCCCATTTAAGGTCATACCACAGCATCTCAATTGGAATCAAATCTGGACTTTAACTTGGCCACGCCAAAACCTTAATTTTGTGGGGGTTTTTGCCATTCAGAGGTCGACTTGATGGTGTGTTTCGGATCGTTGGCCTGCTGCATAATCCAAGAGGGCTTGAGTTTGAGGGCGCAAACTGATTGTCGGATGTTAATCTTCAGGATTTTCTGGGAGACAGCCGATTTCATTGTTCCATCAATCACAGCAAGTTGTCCTGGTCCTGAGGTAGCAGAGCAGCCACAGACGATCACACTGTCACCATGCTTCACTGTTGGCATGATGTTCTTTTTATCAAATGCTGCGTCATTTTTACCCCAGACTTAATGGGCCACACATTTTCCAAAGATTTTTGACTCATCAGTCCACAGAATGTTTTTCCACAAGTCATCAAGATGTCTTACGGCAAATGTGAGACGAGTCGAAAGCAGTGGTTTTCGTCTGGGCCACAATCGCGAGACCATGGCACGTAAACGGACTTCAATCACGACTGGTGCAGCCCCTTATCACCAACTCAGGTATGCCCACCTATTCACAAAGTTACGTGCTCGAGCTGGGCTGCCTACAGTCGCAGCCAGCAGCATCCCTCCTCTCAAACAACACACCTCGTGAGTTACTTCGAGAACACAAGCACATACAAAGGAAACGAGGTTCCAGAGGAGGGATACAAAACAGACTGAGGAGGTGAGGCAGCCGGCTACCACGACCTGCCATGACGCCGTCAAACGTGCGATCCCTCCGGAACGAGACGGAGAAACTTTCCACACTCACAAAGTTTGACGCGGATTACCGACAAATTAACCTCTTCGGCTTCACAGAGACATGGCTATCTGAGGAGATGGACTTTCAACTGGACGGATTTCACAGCATCCGCTTTGACGGAGATGCAGCAAAAACAAGGAAGTCGATTTTTTTTTTGGGGGCTGGTGTAACTTCTACTTCCAAAATACAATTTATGCTTCAAGTTTGACGTCAGTCACTGAAGTGATGTTGGCTTTATCTCAAAGGATGCTATCAGCCACTACAGAGGAGACCTCAAATGTAAGACGTCAAAAGCCCAGAAGTGGTCAACTAATTTGCTTTTGACTCAGGCGTGGGCGGTGGGGCAGGGGGGGGGGCAGCTTTTGAATAGCTGCCCAATACATAACAGAAAAAAAAAACCCAGCTGTGCGCTCTACTGACCACTCCACTATGCACGAAAAGTCTGAATATGATTACATGAGCAATCCATTGCATGCCTTCATACAACCTGGTCATGTTACTGCTTTGGAGGCCCAAATTTCTTTGTTCTTCCCCAATAAATCATTGACTTTTTCCTCATTCGCCCTTTGCACGACATGGTGAGCCGTGAGGAGTGACTGTAAACCACTGCGGTAAATCCCTTAAGAACAATTTATTGTTTAGCGCTCGCAATGATTGAGTGCCCTCATAGCCATGAGTCACAGGTCCGGAGGAATCCAGCCCATTTGTCCATCAATGTTTTGTTTCATCTGAAGAGGGAGGGGGACGCTGAGCAATTCCATTTCCTGCTGTGACGATGATGGGGGGGGGGGGGTGACATCAGGCGTTTTGGCAGCATCCGAAACCAACTGGAGGAAGCGGCGTCAGCCCGATTACAGGGCGAAGAAGCAAAACCTTCTCGCCGAGCAACCGTTAACAGGGCATTTGTTCTGCGTGAAATGAGCTACGATGGGAAGCCAAAACAGGTGCGAGGCGGCTGAAATTCATTCTTTTTGCGCGCCCTGGATGGAGCTTATCGCCAGCGTCATCACCATCAATCAGTCGTCGGCCATCTTTCTTCTCCGCAACACTGCAAAACGGCCTCCGTCGCTTGCCAAGCCAAATCTTTCCGTGTTATTCGACGGCGCTTTACGAGGGTTATCCGACACCTGAGACTGAGCTTTGCAAACACGCGAAAAGACGGACGGTGTTTTAGTGACAAGACCCTTTAGAGTCATTAAAGTGGTGTTACAAGTGGGGCGAGCGAGTCAGCTTGCGAGTTGGGCTTTCGCCAGCAGTCCAAAGCTGATTCACTGATTCTGCCGAACTGTCGTAAGTATTTTAGACGCCGTGTGAAGGTGAACACAGTTGCGGCGATAACCTGCTCACGGTCTAAATTTTGGCATAGTTTTACCCCCAAAATGCTTCACGTTTCAGCGTCTTGAATTTATGAGGTTCCAAAATATCTGGTGACTTTCATTCAAACTTTGATTTCTTTTCATCCCGCGTGACTTCAAAGCAGTCGTCTTGGATAAGTCACGGCCTCTTTCGCGAACGAGCTCGCATCAGCAAAGGCTCTGGCATAAATAAACGGTCGACGAGAGGCAAATATTTTGGCTCCGATAAGGCGGCGCGTAATAAATCACAGGCTAAACTATGAAAGCCATGCGCACATTCCCCTTAACGTTGTATGTAAATGAAAACATCAACGGGTCAGGATGCGGACGGATTGTTGGCCGGCAGCTTCCAAGGAAACAACAGCTATGGAAGGGGTCGCGCTTTTGGAAGGAAACATCAGTATCACAGGCACCTCACTAGACCTTGTTTCAGTCAGCATCAAAGGATTCGTCATCTGGGCAAAATAAGGATTGTTTGTTATGTTTAGCGGGCTCACTAAGTTTGTTTCTGGTAGATTTTATACTTTCTATTTTTTTTTTTTTTTTGCTACTATTCCCTTTGGCTTAATAGGGCCAACTGAAAATAAATATGTCTTGTAAATTTGACATATGACAGAGAAGAGTGTTGTGAATAGCAGCGCAATATTTGAATGAACTCATGTGTGTGATTTTTTTTTCTATGGGGTTTCAAAATTACATATCACAGACACTGTGGGCATGTCGCTGAAAAACATTTCGTCACGCATCCTTCTCATACCGACAGTACTCACGGTGCTTTCCACGATGGGGCAAGAGACGCTAGCCAACAGCTAGTTTGCAATTTAACAGGCTTCCAGAGGCTCCTCGGAGGTGGTGTTCTCCTCGCTTGGTCTTGTGGATCCACATAAAAGAGACACAAAAAGTTGTTGTTTATGAAACACGGCATCACATGTTATTCAGCCTCTGGGATATAAAGATAAGATTCATTTTTCGAGTCAGCTCGCTAACTGCATCCCAGAGTGGTAGAAGCAAGCCATGTAATTTTAACTCAGGAACTCACAATTGTGTCAAATAACCACTGATGCAAATGAAGGTGCTCATTTCTCATATGGTGAAAGAAATGCATGGAAAAAAAAAGTGCTCCATTTGAGTGAAAAATGATGTAGACGTTTTCGTCAATTACCTTATCATACATGCACTGGATAATGTATGTAGAAACAAAACAAAAAATCTTAAGACTAGTGGTTTAATCCTGCCGTTTTTATTTGGGTTGGTTTCTACTTACTTTTTTATGTTCCAAAGGGCCATTTGACAAACGTTTTGTGGAAAAAAAAAAATCACTTTGATTTGGATCTTGTGACAAGTGTTGCGCATCAGTCCATCTGTTTGTGTTGCTTGGCAGGATTGGTCACCAAGTGAAGATGTAGACTGCTACAATAGCTTCTGGCGTTAGCCGGCGACCGGTTAACAGGCTGTCATATGCTTGTCACTTGTAATTGACCACTTTGTCTCACAAAGTCGACGCACTGATTGTATCGTTGCTTTTTCTCCCTGCCTATCCTGAAACTGCCTCAAGCCAGATAACATTACAGACTGCCCAAGAGTGGATTGGAGTGTTTCAAACAACGCCGTGACTCCTTGGCTCTCAAGAACAGGCGGTGGATTGTGATGAGTCATCAGACCCATAGGTCTCTTTGCCTCGCCCGACATGGGGTCCTTGCCAAGCCTTTGAAATGATCCCCAAAACGTCTGGAACATTGACTGAGCTGCGGTCAGGAACAAGAACCTTGCACCAGTGCGAGAAAAAGTGAAGGGAGATACAAACACACAACGACTCGGGGACTACCGCTCATGTAATGAGGCCTCAGATTTGAACATATAAGCACTTGGGAGAGGGAAGATTTAGACTGAAAAGCCCCACAATCATACAGGATTTCTGCTAAGTAATCCTCCTGGATTTAGAACAACAATGCATGATGTTGCTGAGGATCACACAACCATGTTACCGTCTCTGTGAACACAGCACATCAAAACAATGGAGAGTGACACAAAAGAACTCTATAAAGCCCAACGTGTGGCCATAATATGATCCCAAAATTTGCTATAAACTAGAAGCAGAAAAAACATTCCAGCGAGGAACAATAGATTTATTGAATTCACACAGTGGGGCCAACAAAAACATCCTCCACACATGAAAACCATCTCCTTGCTTCGCACTTCAAACTGCATGGAAATGTGGACTCTTCTAAACAACCGAGACAGTAGTTTGGGTTCTGCGAAGGAGCTAACCTGTTAGCCACGGCTTAGCCAAGCACGAAAGTGCGTGGCGTAGTAGCTCAGCATGACGTAGCCAAACGTTTATTCAGTAGTTAACATTAAAACGGCGTATAGACTGGACATAGAAAAACAGTAAAATGTCCGAAAATCCGAAGAAAACATGAGCTTACCTTTAAAACGTCACTGGGGTGGAGTTTGAAGAGTAACGTCCGCCATTTTGAGACGTACACAGTCCTTTCATTCTCGTAAAAAAATGCATTTACTTTTTTTTTAACGACTTTACTTGATTTTGTGTGCGTGTCCACTTGGAGAAGTCTTCGGTCGTTCAGTTTATGCATAAATTGTTTACCCTTTTTGCCATGACACCTGCCACTGGGAAACAACCAGACCAGACGTAATTTTCATTTACACCACTGGGGGCAGTAGTGAATCCTTCACCAACATTTCGGATTTATTTTGATTGAAGATTTACTGTCACACGTTGATATCCATACTTAAGAATAAAAGAGAATAAAATATATTTAATTCTACTTATTATGTTTCCATTACAGTACTGTTAATATCATTCATTATTTGTATTGTGACAGGTTTGACTAGTTTCATTGAATATATTTATATACTGTCTCCTTATTCATGTATTCATATTGCCACAGATTTGATTTAGGGACGGTACGGTGACGACTGGTTATCACGTCAGCCTCACAGTGCAGAGGTGCAGGGTTTGATTCTGGCTCCGGCCTTCCTGCGTGGAGTTTTCATGTTCTCCCTGTGCCTGCGAGGGTTTTCTCCGGGTACTCTGGTTTTCTCCCACATTCCAAAAACAGGTTAATGCAACACTTTAAATCATAGGTGTCAAACTCCAGTCCCCGAGGACCGTTTTCCGTCTCGCCTTTTTGCAACGCACCTGATTCAAATGATCAGCTCATCAGTAAGGACGGTGGCCCTCGAGAACCCGAGTTTGACAATGTTGTCCCTCGGATGTGAGTGTGAGCGTGTATGGATCTTCATTTATGTGTGTCCTGCGATCGGCTTGCAACCAGTTCAGGGTGTACCCCACCTCCTGCCCAAAGACAGCTGGGATAGGCTCCAGCACGCCCCGCCACCCTTGTGAGGATAAGATGATTAGAAAATGGATGGATGGATTAATGTTATATTGCATTGCATTCAAACGTGTACCGAATAAAATGTCCAGGACGGCGTGTGAAATTTTACAATACAAAGGCTCAAGGGACCAAATCAAGTACTAAAGCCTCCTCATAGGTTTATTAATGCCATGCTGCATGAATTATCTTGATATCGACCATTTTTGTTTCAATGCTGCATGGGTGGCCCTCATATTAGCTTGGATAAAGACTTCACGATGGTCCTGGAGGGGTGGGGGGTAGGGGAATAAGGATCAGTCCGAAACACCATCCCCTTTGATTTGTCATTCCAATCACACGTGCGGTCAAGAGAAAGCGATCACATGGAATTGGTCGTGGCGCTTGATGACTTGAAATACGCAGACATGAGCAGATGGAGATAAAGCATGAGCGTTTTGACTGACATCTGCGGCGGGAACTCAACTCTTCATCTGCTTCCAGGTCTTCCATATGCTTTGATTTCTTTTCGCTGACATAACAAATGGCACAGCGGTGAAGAAATATGAACTGAGAGAGAAAATAGCGCGTGTATAAACGGTTGATTTGTGGACGCGTGGATTAGTGGTGCGCTGCTAATGTGGAATGTGAAGGTTGAAAAGACATTTTGGGCGAGATTAAGGCCCCACTGGGGCTCCATTGAAACCCAACAGATCCAGCAGATGGTGCTGCACTGAAAAAAAGCTTTTTTATTGGTGAAATGAATGTATAAATCCATCCCTCCGTCCATTAGCTGATCTGCTTACCGTCGCGAGGGTCGCGGGCGTGCTGGAGCCTATCGCTCGCAAAACAATCAACAAAAATCTGCAGATTTATGCAGATTTTTAAAGAGCCAATATCGACCGGCCGATTAATCTGTTCGCACCTGTATGAATACATTTGTCTCATAAAACCTTAAATGCTGCCACCTCTCCTTGTCCTTTTTCTGCCATATGATGCAGTAAATGATCATACTAATCATAAAATATTAAATAGAAATTTCCACCAAAGCGATGAGCACCAAATCATTTTATTAGCATACCAGTATTCCTTTTGGTTCCGCCTCAAGACGTTTAAAAACCTCTTTCAGAGCCTATATCATAAAGGGATCATTTGAAGGCGGGCAAACAAGCTAATGCTAACCCAAGTAGCAGAATTTCTTGATATATTTTGCGCTCCAGTGCAATTAGTTGATTTTTTTATTTTTGAACGCATACAGCTGTTGTTTACTTTTCATTTCTTTTGAGTGAATGAATGGCTTGTGGAAAACATTAATGGTGATGAGCACGGCGCTAACTAGTCCCTTACCCTGGTAACGGATACCGATACCAGCCACCAATACCTCAGCCAAAAAATAGTCCTCCGCACCAGTAGTTGGCGCTACAGTGTAGCAGTTTGACAAGGTGAGGGGAAAAAAAGTGGTCTCAAACATTCCGAGTGGAATGTAAGCATATTAAATTGATGTTCCTATCACTCCAAAAAAGTTAGAGCTCCCCCTGTTGTTGTGGAGTGGCATTAGCTTGCTTGGGCATGCAACAAATGGTATCCCTCGTGCACTGCCTTTCGAAAGAGGTTGTCCAATCACAAAATGCACCCATGCAGGGAGTCCCGGAGCATGCAAAAGAGCAAACAAAAATTAAAAAATATCATATAGTATCATTCTATGAAATATTGGTGGAAAAGAAAGATATACAATCTCATTGATAGGACTTATAAAAATAACTGGAATTTGTTTAAAATGTCCGGTGCGGCTTGGATCATTGTCGGACAGGATCTTCGTCATCTTCATAGGCCTGAAAATGGGACAGAAAAGTGGAAAATGATCGTGAAAATCAGTGTATAAATGACGTCTATTGAAAAATGAATTGAAAGAAAAATTCAAATAAAGATTTTTTTTTTTTAAATATTGGAAAAAAAATCAGGGGTCAACTGTCTTCAAAATGAACAAAAAAGTTTGCAAAAGATAATTCAAATGTCATTTGTATCGACAGAGTTGCAGCGCTGTTAGTTTTTCAACAGGGTCAAGGTAACGTTGTCTGCTGTTTGCTGGAAAATGAGGCTTGCGCTTTGAGAGTGTTGCCGTGGCGACGCGGGGGGGACGTGAGGGAGGCGGGTCAGGCTTTCGGGTGATAGTCAAGCTGGAACCTTCTCTCACATCTCCTTCCAGGCTGGCACACTGCAAACCGCGCGCAGCACCTCGCCGGCCACAAGAGAACAACCGCAGACACCAGCCACAAAGCAGACAGCCCCGAAATCATCAGAGACTTCGCTCTGTTTGCGAGCGCGTAAACGCCGTACCCCCGCGTGACTTCATGGAACTGGGCAACGGCCTCCGTTTAACTCGCCAGGGTAATTGAATGAAATGAGTTTGGTGGCTTCCGCGCGCTTATTCGGGTAACGCGTTCAAGAAGTGAGGTCATGAGCAGACAGTCAGGCTCCTTGAGGACACTTGGGCAAATATTTCTCAGGAGCGCGTGACGGATTCTCACCTGAAAAGACGGATCGCTTGCTGGCACCTGAGAAAACAAAAGGAGACCACATGGATGAACCGAAAACCACAATGACCCTGCAGTAAAATTCTAACACACACACACACACACACACATACACACACACACACACACATATATATATATACGTATACATATATACATATACAGCATGTGTATATGCAATTATGTAATTCATATTCACTGGCCAGTTCACGTTGTCAGAATATCTCATGTTCATGGCATCAAATCTCATAGTAATAAAATCACTAACTGCATTTTCCATGTTCACACATGCACGAATCGAATGATCTCAAAATCCTTTTTTTTTTTTTGGAGGGGGGGGTCAGATTCTCCCACTGTGATTAATTCAATGTGGCTCTCCACAGACGCACATCGCGGCCATTGTCAGCATTGTTGTCGTTATGTAAGATAAGCAGCCGCCTGAGTTATGTTTCCACGACAACGGCGGTCGGGTTATTTATTTATTTGTCATGCTGGAATTCCTCTTCCGTAACATCGATCTAAAATTCAGATGCATGTTTTTTTTGGTTTTTTTTGGCGTCCCAGTGATGCCATGAGAGTCTGTCAAGGAAATTTCACTCACTTTTGTCCTGCTCGGGCGGCTCCATGATGTCGCTGTCCGTGTCGCTGGGGATGTGCCAAGGCTGCCGGATGGCCTGCAACTGCTGGTAAAACTCATCCTGAATCAGACGCATGGACAAAACAAAAAGCATTGAGGAGGATACGTACCGGTGCTCCCATTAACCGCAACCACTACTGTCAAAAAGAGAACCGCTGTTAACCTTGTCATGCACCCTGTAACCCGATGACATGATAAGTTGTCCACTGTAGTAACCGCTGTCCTTGACAGGGTTAATAAAGCCTTCAAACTGTCTCCCATACATGAAAGGACTATTATGAGTGGAAAAGTCCTTTTATGCTGGATGGTGACTGTCACGGAAACCCCACACGAAGCGCACGCGCGAGTTTCCTTCTGTAGTCGACGCCAACGTCCCCGCCGCCAAGTGTGCCCGCCGAGCGCGGGGCCTGTTGGAGCACACGCTCTGACTCTCCCCAAAGCATTACGTTGGGAGTACGCTCGGTTTTAAACACACTGGGTGTCCTGCTTGTCATTGTTTTATTGCTGGAATGTAAATATGGAGGATTATTTTGGAGGAAACTTGGGTTGGATGGACAGGCAACTTTTGAACCAATGACCTTAATGGGGGCGTTTGCAATTTTGTGCACCATGTAACCTGATAACATGGTAAGCTATCCACTGTAGTCGCCGCTGTCCCTGAAAGGGAGTTTGTCTTATTTGTTAAAATAGTCATGACGACTTGACAGTTGGACATGATATATATGATCTGTGGGGGAAAAAAAAAAAACAGCCATCCCTGGCCTCTAACTTGATTTGGATAAGCTCCTTTATTCGTTTGAATTGAATGTTCCTTGAATATTTTTTTGTGCTGTTGCGGGAGACTGGACAAACGTTTTTCAACCCCCAACCATCTCCATAAAAGATTGTCTTAAAAATATTATTTGGGGGATTTTTTACCCCCCTCAAAATAGAAACTTTTTTACCCCCCAAAAATAAGCAAAAAAAACAAACAAACAAACAAATTAATAAATACATTTGGGGGGGAAGATTAAAAAAAAAAAAAAGATTTCAAAACAAGCATTTTCCTGCCAAAGGCAAACAGTGTAAAAAAATAACAATAAAAATAAAACTGTTCTCATGAAAAGCTACTTTTCAACAACAACAAAAAAAAAAATATGAGGAGGACTTTTTTTTTCAAACTTATTTTTTTCAATCCTCCGTTTTTGAAAAAAGTTTTCTCTCCAAAAAGCAATTATCAGAATTCAAATGCATAAGTTGGACTGAAATGAATTTTTTATATTATATTGTATTTTTTCCTGTAATTTTTTTTACCTCAGCCAGATAGGCCCGCAGGCTGGCCCCCAGGCTGTCGGTGGTGCTGAGCCCGGGCGGCGTGAGCAACGGTCGGGTGTGCGCAGGCTTCCTGGTGGGTGTGACTGGGCGACTCCTGGACCTCCTGAACGTCACCTCCTTGTGAGCGTTGAATCCCGAGCGCAGGCTGTCGGGCGTTCCGGGCGTGTGGGTCCTGCTGCCGGGGTTGCTGAAAGCCCGACCGCCCGGCCGCAAGGACGATGACCCGGGGCACGCCTTGCCCGAGAGGCCGCCGCTGGGCGAGCGGGGCCTGCAGAGAAGGCTGGTGAGCGGCAGCGTATCAGGGAGGCTCCGGTGGCCCAGCGGACCACGGACGAGACTGCCGTGGGGATTGTTTCGAACAGTCATCTTGCCCACTTCTGCCAGCTTGGCCAAATCCTTCTCAACCTCTGCAAAAACACAAGAGAAGACATCCCACCTCAGCAGAATAGATTATAGTTATATTTTATATGTATATCCGTGTGTGTGTGTATACAGACATACAAACTGCGACATGTCACGGCAAATCGAAACGCCGGCGACCTCGGCGGCCCCGAATCCGAAGATGAAACGGCTCCCAACGTGGAACGTGTTAGCGGCTAATAAAGACTTAAAAGCGTCCAATTAGCTCGTTCAGACGCCCGACGGGAGCCCGACGTCAGGCGTGCCCAAATGAAAACCACGCGAGGAGATCTCCGAATGGAAAAACGACGCTTGCAGCGTCGTCTTGTGACCAAGTGCGAAGCCCTCGCTGCGCGGCTATTGTGTTAGCAATATGCTTCAAATAAGTGTGGTATGTGAGAAGAAAATTAATGAGCTCTTTATAACAATGTCAAGGCCTGTGGTTGTGTTGAGGGGGGGCAAGGGTGGGGGGGAGCCACATGCCGACATTCCATCTGTATTGATAAAAAACATTCCCCAGCATCAATAGGCGCCCCGATGACTCTTTAGTCTCCTTTTTACGCAGCCGTCGGTAGACATACGCAAAGACGTAAAAGTATTGGGAAAAAAAAGATTATTTGATCATTTCAGGTGCCAGATTGTTATACTCGGTCACCTCGCATGCCATATCTTTACAAATGAATTGTTAGACCTGCTCAAATGCTATGTCTGTCAAAATCAATACAGATACACCTCAGTCACCTCAGGTGCCATATTGTTAAAAAAAATACTTTGATCACCTCGGGTGCCAGATTATTATCAATAAATAGGCATCGATTTGAGTCGCCTCACAACACATCTTTAAAAATAAAGAGTTATCCTAGAAACCTAAGTCACTTCTGGTGCCATGTTGTTCAATCAATACAGATATTGTTTGGTCACATCTGATGCCATTTTGTGAAAAAAATTGATATTTTGATCACCTCAGGTGGGTCGATTGTGATGAATGAATCGAGATCTACCTCGGTCACTTCAGAATCGAAACAAATTGTCCAAAACCAAAATGTGTCCTCACTAGTCTGACACATGGATGACTAACACAAAGGCTTAGGCTACATGCTAATGCCACCCCCCCCCGAAACCCCCACCACAACCACACACACGCTTGCGTACCAGCGAGCTGCTTGCCCATGTTCTCCAGCTCCTTGGAGAAGAGGGGGTCCCCCAGCACCAGACCAGCTCTCCTCCCAGCTTTGAGATCAGCCTCCCAGACAGGCTGACGCTGTAGTGGGTACGGGAGGGGGCACGGGGGGGAACCAGAAAAAAGAGAAAGTGACATTTTTTTTCAATTTAAAAAGTCAAGAAGCCTTCAATTAAGCTCCTTTCAGATCATTTTCAGTCATTACTGGAAATAACGCCGCCGTATCTGCTGAGGGTGAGAAAAAAAAAGGGGAGGCTGGTATTATTTTACGGGCTATATAAAAACCACAGGAGATGAAAGTGTGCAGTGCGTATGGAAGATTGAAAGGAAGCGCAACATTTCTCTCTGGCTTTCAGTAGACAGTCTAAACTCAACAGTGATCACACGGCTAAACCGGGAATCATATGAAACATATGTAGACGAGAATCTCCAAAGTGCTACACAATGTGTTCGGGAACCACTACGCTATGAGGGACGAAATCTAGACCATACCCTGGAGTGATTGCTCGTGATTACTAGGATGATTGGGAATGGGCTGCTGTGTGGGAACTAATCCTGTGCAAGCTATGTGAAACACTACACTAGCACTGGTGGTCTAGTCTCGGTTGCCAGCCAGTCCCAGCTTGATTGTCAATCGGGCATTGTGTTGGAACTAATCCCTCTCCAAACTACACCAAATTCAGGATGATTGGGAATGGGGTGCTGGGTCGGAACTAATCCTGTGCAAGCTATGTGAACCGCTACACTAACACGGAAAGTCTAGTCTCGGTTGCCATTCAGTCCCAGCATGATTGTCAATAGCGTATTGTGTTGGAACTAATCCCTCGCCAACTACACAAAATTCAGGATGATTGGGAATGGGGTGCTGGATCGGAACTAATCCTGTGCAAGCTATGTGAACCGCTACACTAACACGGAAAGTCTAGTCTCGGTTGCCATTCAGTCCCAGCATGATTGTCAATAGCGTATTGTGTTGGAACTGATCCCTCACCAGCTACATCAAAGTCGGATGCGACAATCGTGCCACCAATGGTAATGGCAGAATTTGACATAAAACCCTTGACCGATTCGAATCCCGTCCTGTTCCCGTGTCAGTTCTTTCACATTTTTGTTCCTTTCAAGTGTGGTGTTTTGCGGGATTCCCCCCCCTCCGCCCCCGCGCAGCGACACTGTAGGCGGCCGGTGCTGCTGTCATCTGAAGCGAGCCAACAGCAGCGGTTCCATTCCGACGCGTTCGATCCCAGCCAACGAGTCTGACGGTTTACGCGCGAGTCACACGTTTTGAGCGGATGACGTCGTCCTCAGATGAGCTGCGGCTTTGTGGGTTTCAACGTCAAACTTTAACCCTTTCGGGGACAGCGGTTACTACAGTGGACAGCTTAGCATGTTTATCAGGTTACAGGGTGCATGAAAGGGTTAAAATGAAATGACATTAAAAAAAAAATTAAGAAATAATAACTCAGGGCCCACAAAGTGTATCGCCAGGTCGCCGTGGAAACGGAACATAAAGCGTCACAACAGCATCTGCCTTGTTTCACTCACAAGGCCTCGCATCACGCTCATTTTCCTCCTCGCGCCGAACAAATGAGCAGTTTCCCCCTGGCAAGCTTCGTTTATGGCGCCGTCACTCAGGCAACAAGTTTGATCCAAGTGGATGGAACTGGATCTTTTGGTAGATTTGCTTGTATTTGCAGGGCATTTATCGCTTTTTAGTTTGTTGGGGGGGGGGGGGGGGGGGGTTCTGGCCAGACTAATCGTAACGACTATTAACGGCTTTTACAACCTTAATTGAGGACATGTGCATGAGAACATGTCATCATGTCAAAGAAATGTCCAAAAATAACCTGGAAAAATTGAATAAGGTCACTTTTTTTTTTTACGGCACTTTTTCAAATGATGGTCCCAGTTGCATAAAAGGAAGAGTTCCGAATTATAAATGGAATTAAAATGCAGCAATAATAAATGAAAAAGTACACTTTACGGTACTTTATATGGCAATACATCAGATTAATTGAAGAATAGTTTGAAATGAACAATATGCAATGATAAATACAATTGAATAAAATTGTACAAAATATGAGACGCACCAGCAAAAATCAATCCATCAATAATAATAATAATAATAATAATACATTGAAGAGTAGCATACAGATTTAAAACACTTAATGGGCTCATTTACAAAATAATTATAAATTATAAATAAAAAACAATTTTATGCATGTGTATTTAGTCACAATTTAATCTTTTTTTTTTTTTTTTTTTTTATGTGCCACATGCCTCCAAAGGAAGATTAAAACAAAATATAAATCAAACAACAACATTTTGAAAATAAAATAACATTTTTGAAAAGTCCCCAAATAACTGCCCCAAAATAAAATAAAAACAATATTTTTATCAAATTACTGAAATTAAATGAACCCTTTCAGGCACCCTGTAACCTGATAAAATGATAAGCTGTCCCCGAAAGGGTTAAAAAATAAATGTCAATACACCAAAATACATTGAATTTAAAAGAAAATAAGGAATCACTACCCACTCCATTCCGTATTCACAATTGTAGGCATTGTTAGCATAGTGGTTCACATAACTGACTCCTGCGTCTGTGTTTGAGACGCCGCGTGTTTTCGCTGATGTTCCATCCCGTGGGCCGGCTCACATGCCATCAATAACGTCCCCCCACCCGCCAAGACGTCGGCCCCTTTTTGCATCGTTAACCCTCTCCAAAAGCATTCCTCTCACTCTCGCTCTTTTGTTTTCATAATTGCCCCCCCCCGAAGACGTTTTTACGACGTTTTGAAATCTAAAAAAAAAAAAAAAAAAATCCTGTAGCCAGCCGAGACGTGACTGCGTGTGCGTGGCAGATGCAGAACGGCTCCGCGCTAACTGCGAGCAGACCCATTCAAAGCGGCGACGAGTTGGCCAACAAAATGAGGCGGCGGCGGCGTCCGCAAATGAAAGAAAAGCTTTTGATAGTACGTCACGTGTACATGTCGACCTGTAGACTAGCGCCACTCCACTATCTGGCACCTTCTTTAGCGCGACAGCCGCTAATGTGTTGCATGAGTGAAACACGAGTGCAAAGGTTTTCTCTCACCTACTCCAGTCATTCTGATTGAATTGCTTTGTGCAGCTATGGGAACCACTATGCAACAAATGGCACCTTACCTTGGATTGACTGACAACCAACAGTTGAGTGATTGTCAACAGGGTGCTGGCTGAGAACTGATCCCGTGACAACTACACAAAAGTCAGCTCTATGAACCACTACACCACCAGCGGCAAATGTGGTTTGCATTCACTGATTATCAAATACTGTATATAATACTTCCGACAGCAGACTACTATACATCATGGACTGAATGGGGTGTGAGCCTGCTACACAAGTCAGTTATGTGAGCCACTATACAACCAACAGTAGATTAATGAAGAGTGAATGTGGTATGATTGTGAAATCATCCCATGACTGCTACACCAAAGTCAGATAAGTGAACCACTCCACTTCCAAAAATAGATTACTGCACATTGTGGACTCAATAGGGGGTTGAAGGGAATCCATCCCATGTCAGCTGAACTAAAGTTGGCTATGTGAACCACTACACATCCAACGGTAAACTATTATATAACCATGCGTTGAATGTGGTGTTGAGTGGAATTGCATCCAATGCACCTTGCTTGAAAAAAAGTCAGCTGTGTGAAACACTATACTATCAATGTTAGACTACTGTACGCCACGCCCGCTAGATTAAAGTCAGCGACGTGAACCACTACCCTACCAATGGAAAAAGTAGTCTACATTCTGAGCTCATGACCAATCAAATCCAAGGTGATTGTGAACGCAGTGATGAGAGGGAACTCAACCCACACCAGCTACAAAATGGTCACATGAATCACTACACTATCAATGGAAAATGTGCAATTCCCTCTGAAATGATTGCAAATCTATGGCAAGACGATTCTGAATCTGGTGTTGAGTGTGACTTGACGCCACGCCAACACGACGTTCATCGCAATGGCCGCCCTCCAATTAGCACGAGCTCGCGGCGGTCACATGACACTTACAGAGCTCGACACTTGAGACGGAGTCTCGCATTCCTGCAAGCGCCCCGCCGCCGCCGCCAAAGCGTCCACCCCAGGCAACGTGGCTGCGAGAAAGATGAGACCCGATGAAGCAGACGTGGAGACAGATGGAAGGTTTCTTGGCGCTCACATGAGATATCAGGCACGGCTTGTTCGGATGCGTGAGGGCGCAAAGCTTCCTGCGATCTGCTGGTGGCCAGACTGTCGCCCTGCAACCTGGGCAAGGAGACAGGCAATACGTCACACATGATACAACTCGGCAACATGCAAAATAATGGGACACCGGTTCTCATTTACCATCGTGACGTGATTCGCTGCGATTATGAGTTCTGTTTGACAATAATTTGCAAAAATTCCAACACGATTCGTTAAGATTCACACCGGCTGTGATGTGTGATTTGCAACAATTTACTCCAATATAATCCAATTACATTATAAATCAAACCAATGACACTGTTTGGCGTTCACTGCAAATTACGATGGAGTACCATTTATTACAATACAATCTGCGGGTTGGCCACTCTGACAGAAATTTGGTGGGGGACAGAATATCCGATAAAGCGAAAACACAAGAAAGGATGAAACCATTAATTTTTTTTTTTTTTTTTTAAATAAGACTTATGGCTAGCACACGACTGTCCTGAGTCATTCTTTAGTTATGTCAGCTAGCACGCATGTATAAACACCACACATACACACACTCATACACATACAGTATTCTGTTTATACAGTATATTCAGTAAACGTGAAAAGAAATACACAGATGTCAAACCAAACATACAATCAGTACAAACTATGCACTTAAAACCATAACATAATCCGTGAGCTCGTGATCCCGCGATAAGATTCATCCTGGTGCGGGACTTGTGAAAACATCCCCCGACTGATAAGAACGCCGAGAAGAAACAAGCGTGGCGCGCAGCCCAAATAATGCACTCTGTGCGGGCAGATGACGACGTGGCGTCATTGTAGCGACAGATAATAGTTATCGCGGACTGGCATCGAGGCGTCAAGACGTCGTGCCCACAGACGTACTGCACATGCTGCCGAAGATCATATGATCTGAAAAATCTCACTGTCTGGTTTGCCATTTAAAGGCGGTGTGAATCACTGCAATACTAACGGCAAGTGTGGACTATGATTGCCAGTCAATCCTGGGCTGACTGTGAAAATTGTGTCAAAAGGGAATTTGATATCATTCAAGCTACACGAGTTATCTCTGTGAATTACGACACTGTCAAATGCAAAGGTTGACTTCGCCGTCGATTTCACGCGAGTCACTCTCAAAGTAAATGCAGCTGGGTTACTGAATAAGAATAATTCCCAAGCCAGCGATACAACAGTCAACGGTGTGAACTAACGACAAGTAGTCTACATGCTGAACGGATCTAAAGTAAATAACGTGATTGGTTTTTCGTGTCAATTGATGCGATACCGGCCATACAAAAGTCAGCAATGTGAAACACTACACTATCAATGGTAAATGTGCACACCGGTTGCAAAAATATCAGCAATGTGAACCATTGCAGTACCACTGACATAAGGTCATTCAAATCATGGACTGATCAGCAACCAAGCCCAAAAGGATTGAAAATGTAGAGTAGGTAGCTAAACGGACAAGATATGTTAACCATTATACTATCAATGGCAAATACCGAGTTCACACTGGACTAAGTGCCGATCTATCCAAGGATGATTTTGGATCTTGTGTCATTTGTGAATTGATGCCACACTAACCCCCTCAAAAAAAGTCAGCCACAGTGAACCACTACACTGCGGACTCCAGGGATATAAGGGCCTACCTGGCACATCGAGAGCAAATGTTGAGCGTAACTTTGGCCTGAGGTTCCGGATGGTAGGAGCTGCGTCCCTGACTGAATTTACAGCCAGACGGAGCCAATCCGGTCACACCTTCCATTCGCAGATCATCCAGGTCCTCTGCAAGGGAGGAAAGATACATTCAGACTATGTGAACCACTAGACTAACAATAAGGACCAAGGCAGATGACACCCTGGCCCAGATATGACAGGATTCATTTTGATTCACAGGTAGATATGATGACATGACAGATACAAACATGAACACACACACACACACACACACACACACACACACACACACACACACACACACACACACACACTGTGTGATGGGAATCAGATGTCACCGCACACACATCACAGCTCTGTGGATTATGGAAAGTTTTCCAGAACTTGGTGTAAACCTTTTAACTGCTTCTAACCACACTTTTTATTCGATTATTGATTTTTTTTTTCTTTAGAAGCAGAGATTAGGGTGCCGCAGCAGAATTTGACATCACGACGTATTAGTCATCATGCCCGGGTCAAGTGACACCAGCCACCATCATGTTTGAAGGGTCGCCAGAAGCACGAACCGCAGGAAGCGGGGTGCCAGCAAACAAGCGTGCCCTCTAGTGGACCAAAACAGCAATGCATTTAATTGAATTAAATGAGAATAACAAAAAAAAAGCTATTCGAAAAAAATGCTAAATGCAAGAGAGAAAAATGCTCTCTCTTTCCCCCAAAAAATACATATAGACACACACACACACACACACACACACACACACACACACACACACACACACACAGACACACACACACCTACACACACCAAACAAATATGTAAAAATTATTAAAATGTCACTGTTGAAACTTTCTACTTTTTTAAAGTAACGTAAAAAAAATACTGATCAACCAATAAATTAGAGGTAAAAATACAAAACTATGAAACAAAAATGCATATTAAAAGAAAAAAAATCCCAAAACATAAACAAAGTAACTAAAAGAAAATTATACAAATACTCAGATGAAGCATACAATATTGGATGAAAGAAAAGAAATAAAAAATACTAAAATATTACATGAGATAGACATAATTTTTTTTTTTTTTTTAAATCAGTGATGACACACATCCACCACTAGAGGACAACCAAATGCCTCTAAAGCCAGTTCCTCACTTGCCTCCTGTCCCTTGTCCTGCCACAATCGACAAGAGGACAGCAAAAAAGATGATCCACAAACACAAGAGAGAGAGAATGTGTGTGTGTGTGTGTGTGTGTGTGTGTGTGTGTGTGTGTGTGTGTGTGTGTGTGTGTGTGTGAGACCAGGCAGTACTCGGGAACCCAGGAGAGCCGATCAATCAGCCCTTTGCGGATCAATAATTATGGACCCGCTGGTGCAGAGGCCATCAGTCATCTGTGGCACAAATTCGGTCTTTCTAAATGAGCACCACAAAACCTCGAGTGGCCTTCCACTCCCACCCGGTCTGCGGTCCGTAAAGTGACATTCAAAATGAACAGATACGATTCAGGCAAAAAAAAAAACAAAACTGTTGTGGTTGCTGAGTCCAATATGGCTAAAAAGTCAGGATATGTAATAAGAACCTAACATCTGGCAACTTACCCAAAAGTTCCATGGCGTCGTCATCGTCGTCGTCGACATCCATCTCGTCGTCACCGACGCACGGCGTGAGACTACGGAGCGGGTTCAAGGACTCCTGTGACAACATGTCGGCCAGCAACTTCCTATGATGCTGCTGCTGCTCCATTAGTCCTTTGCTGCCTTTGGCCACCGTCTTAAGACTGAGCGGGCTGGTGGAGGGATGGAAGACAACCATTTGTGATTGTGATTGTGATTGTGATGACAACCACGGAAGAGGAATTGGCATTTGACGCCATGTTTCGGCAGTCATTTGGAAGGGACAAAAATAGATTTTTCGCTCAGGCTGCTAACTAAGTGATTTCTCCTTCAGCCTACAGCAGCCGAATGATATTAGCTAAATCCTGTCCCGCGCATGATTTATGGTTTCTTAGCCTCGTCGTCCTCTAATTAGTCACATCACACTCCAAACGATGTCACACGTGCACACTGACATGGCAAAAGGTGTCGCAGGTTTAAGGAAGACCGCCTTGAGAGGGGTCGGGGAATGACGCAGATTAGCGCGGCAAATGTTTCGATAACAACTTCCGCATGTGTACGGTAGCCTCGAACAACAGGCGGTTCGTTATCGTTCCAAATAAGCTTGGTGCCGGATAGCCTTGGAAATGGGATGATCACATTACGTTAGTTCAGATGGAGGAAGGGGACGGGGAGAGCGAAAAAGTCCGCCTGAAAGACTTCAAGATTCATTTGTTGGAATTTTAGGTGACGTTTTTCGTTCCCAACACTCACATGCAAACGGTACGCTCATTCAATACCTCATTCGGGAAAACCGAAATAGATCATATTGAAGGAATATGAATTAGTGCGTAAAATGGTAGTTTAGAGAAGAGTCAAAACAGTATAAAAGGATTTTAGGAAGCCATTTGGAGAGGAGGTGGGTGGGTGCGAGGGATTACATTTTTTTGTGGCTGGAGCTATTTTGAGAACATATTTTTTTAGATGCGTTTTGAGGAAAAAAAAAGTGATATTTTATTCACTGAGTCGCTTTGAGAAAAAAAAACAAAGCTGATTTTTCATAGAGCTATTTTGATAAAATAAAATAAGTAATTTTATGATGAGTTATTTTGAGAAAATTGTGTCAAAATTTTTTTTAATCAATTATTTTAGAAATAAAGCAGTGGAATGAGAAAAAAAAATGAAGACATTTTTACCTGGACAAAAATATTCAAATGATGATCAGGAGCAGTTTTGAGTAAAAAACATCAAGCTACTTCCATATGAACAATGAATTTTGTCTATTTTGAGATGAAAAATAAGAGGGAATTGGTGTAGGAAGCCATTTTGTGGAGAGAAAAAATGTTGGGGCGGAGCTGTTGCATTGTATCTCTTGTGAGGTTGTATGTAGACGTAGAAGACCAACCTGGCGAGGGGGAGTCCGTCCCTGCTCCAGCACACGTCGTTTTTGACACGCGGAACCGGGGGCCGCAGCATCTCGGCGGCCAGCGGGTCAGCATCCTCCTCGGCGCGACCAATCCACTCGCCCACCACGCGGGGACGCAGCACCGAGTTGTAGCCTCCCAAGTTCTGCACGAAAATAACAAAAGAGAATTTCAAGAATTTCAGTCTGTGTATCGTGATTGCGTGCCTCATTGTGTGTTTCTGGCTTCTTCTTTTTTTTTTTTGGTTTGTGTCTCCATTTTTTATGGAGACCCAAAAATATATTTTTTTGTGTTTTTTGTCAAATTTTTCCCGTTTTTCGACATTTTTTCTGATTTTTTTTTTTACTTTTTTTTTCGAGTGAATGCAATCAGCTTCTTTACAAAATATATTGAAACATTAGATTTTGTCATTTACAGCGAACCAGTTACAATAAAATGATTGAGAAAATACCTAAAAATTCAAGTTTTACTTGACCAATTTTAGAGGAAAAAAAATCGCAATTTTAATTTTAGTTACCTTAATCCTAACCTACAACGCAAATCACCAGTGACTTGCTAACGGTTAGCACCAATGGCCATTTTCGACGTGATGGAGCAACACATGTAGACGGACAATATAACAATCTGGTGGACATGGCTGGAACACCAAAGGAGCAGCGCAATAAATTGGACTGCAGCATAAAATCAGGAGGTAAAAACCGAATAATGTCTCGAAATGATGAATCGCAGTTACCTGACCAATGTCATCCGATGTGGTGATACCTGGGAAAAAGAAAAAAAAATGAATTAAAGGGAAAGAAGACATCAAGAGTCCTCGTGGTCTCATCAGATCGTCCGTTTGATCCTGGATGGAATTTCCCACTGGGGATCTCACGGTGACGCTGACAGCAAAAAAAGGTCGCCTGCTGCTTTTACGACTTGTACGTGTCAAGATGAATGAAAATGAGTGAGCAGTCTCACTGTGAGAAAGGCTCTCCAGGGCCCGGCCCAGCTTTTTGCTCTCCAGCAGGATGTGGTTGAGCTCGTCCAAATCGCGGCTGTCCCGCCAGTCCCACGACGGACACTGAGGCACTGACAAAAACACCACAAACTGATCGGAATACACACAAAAAAAAATGGACAGTTACACAAAATGTCAACTCAAGTGTGTGTCCATTTACGTACACACCTACGAGAAAATGTTTTGCCAAAGTACGGTGGCCCTAAAGGAACCAAATGTCCGGAACAAGTCCTTGCGTTATTACCTCCAATTCACTTGTGTGACACAGAGAGGCCAATCGCGTTCACAGTCATGTTCGCTTGTGTGCTAATGTCGAATCCGCCTTCCATTTTTCATGAGCTCGGCGCACCCATACACCGACGAAATGTATTTTTAATGTCATGGGATTCCAAGTGGAGGTGGAACAGGCACGCATCACCGCCAACCAACGTGCACGTCTCGTCAAGCGACCAGTATTTTGGTTTTCAGCGACTTCTCACTTCGGAGCCTCATTCCTTGCCAGGCTTGACCGCAGCCTGAAATAGACTCACGGCGCCGCCCGCGTTAAATTATTGAAATGATCAACATGCTCCACATTTGACCCAGCCTTGACGTCTCAAGTGTTTTCGACGCACTGCGGCACTTTCCCAACATTAGGTATGCCCGCAACGGCCAATCAGATCCAACAAAAAAAAGCTGCACCAATTACTCTTTCTTTTGTCACAAACTGTTGATAACTGGTACGTTAGCTTATGCATTAATGCGTATTTTTAAAAAAATTAAAGTCATTGCAGTCACGTTGCAGCTGCAGTAAAACACATTAAATGAGTGATAAAGAACGTGTGCAGGCGCGCGTGCGTGCGATGCAACACACTGTGACAAATTTCAATTCAAGATAATCACATCAAATTAAAAGGAGGGATTCAACTCGGTGGGGCGTGTGACAAAGAAACAAGCCATACAATTACTCCGGCTGGGCTAGATTAACAATGGATGGATGGATGGCAGCGACATCAACCGCCGACTTACACAACTTGGATTCCGGCGAGGGAGGCGACAAGCTGGACACGGCCAGGTCACTCTTGGACTTCTTGGGTTTCCTGGGGTGAATTTGCCACGGTCTGTCGTTGTGGCGTAGCTCCCGTCGAGTGTTTTTGCTTTCTTTTGAACACACACCAAAAAGAAAAAGTTGTCACACAAGTGAAGAAACAACATGGCGGAAAGAAACCAAGTATTAAGACTTTGTTCCAGGACTAAATAAACGCTAAAAAATGTTTACCCACCCGGGGAACTTTGGGCCCACAGCGCTGCCGATCCGGAGAGTGCGCGGTGCATCTTTCCGGGGCTGTCCTGTTTGCTCTGGAGGTGGTCGATGAGGAAAGGAATGGGACGGTCAGGGGTCTCACTTATCAGTTTTGTCATCAACTCCTACATGGGCGCAGAAGAGGACAGGAATGACAAAAAAATAAATAAAATAATGGAAACAGCTAACATGCTAACAGCTTATCAATAATGTGACTATTGTGACGAAGCTACAATTGGGATGCTAACAGATACTGTCACGATATGTGCTCGCTAGCGTGCTAAGTCGGTTTGTAAGCCAATATAAAAAGAAAATAGTGCTATGGCAGAAAATGAGGTTTATATTCCACCAAGTAACCAAGTACTAGTTCAAATACTGGGAAAAAAGGCTAACATGCTAACAATTGGGATGCAAATATATACAGTAGAAAGCTGACAAGTGTCGTACAGAAATGCTAACATGCTAACAACTGGTAAGCTATCATAGTTCGACAGAACTTTGAGTAAATAAAAGGCTAAAGGCAGACCGCGAGAATTACATTCCAACAACTTGGCAGTTATTAATTAAAATGAGACGGAATGCTAACGTGTTAAGAACTTGTTTGCTACCATATACAGTAGAAAGCTAAGAATCATTGTACAAAAGGCAACTGTGAGCAACCCATTGGGATTACACTTAATGCCAAATATTCAGGTACTAAAATGTGAGTCTGGTAAGATAACATACAAAGTACAAGTTGGACACTTCAGGCACTAAAATCTTAACATGGTGACATAAAGCAAGACATTGACTGTTGCCCATGAATGCCAAGTAGTCATGTCATTCAAAATCTTACATGCTAATTGACAAGCTAAATGGTGAACGACAATCATTTGTCGATGCTTTCAAGTATCCGGTTACACAGCCAGGAAAATGAACTCTGTTTGACCAGCTTAAGCCCTTCGTACTGCAGCGTTCCAACATGTGCAAAGCCAAATCCACCAGTGGGAAGAATGTCCGTCCAACTGACTGAGTTCAATATCTGCAGGCAGCTCACGTCTGTACTGTATAAAGAAGAAGGAGAAGAAAAAAAAAAGGCAACCAGTCCCGTGCCAGCGTATATTGATTGCCCGTCCCATCTGGTGTTCCGAATGAGCTCATGCGCGCTAATGCAGCGGCTACTATGACATCAGAGCAGAAGACAATAAGCATGGCCACTCTGTATGCCGACAACACGAACGGATCACAACGGAAAACAAAATGCGGTTCTCCACCCGGGCAGTCGTCGGGCTTCGACGAGAACGAGTCTGTTTCCATGCGACGGTAATTGAATGTCTGTCCGTCGGCCAAGAGATGGATCCCGTGTCATTGGAAGCTCCCAGCAGGCGTAAAAAGATTCACAATGACAGCCCTGACCTGCTACATGGCCGTCCCGCAGGGAAAATAGAAGGTCAAAATGTTGTAGTCTACCTCGTGGGGAACATAGCTGAACCAACACCCCTTTCGTAACCCTCAGATTGACTGGCGACCAGTCCAGAGTGTAGTCCACCTTTTCCACTGGCACTATAATGGTTCACATAGGTGACTTTCGTGCAGCTGATATTAGCTTGATTCCCATTCCCCATTCACATTCACCTCGAGACTGGCTGTGGCGATGAGGTCGGGGCTTGTCTAGTTTTGCCATTGATAATGTCGTGGTTCACATATCTGACTTTCATGCCGCTGGAATCGAGGCACATTCAATTTTCCCATTCACAATCGCAGGATAATCGACGGGCAATCAGTCCAGCGTGTACTCCACCTTGCTCATGGGTAATGCTATGGTTCAAACGTTAAATTGAGCCTGGAATGCACTTTTGCCACTAGTAATATAGTGGTACACATAGTTGACTGATGCAGTTGGGATGGGCTCAAGACCATTCTAATTCCACATGAGACTTGTAAAGATCAAAAATTGATGAATCCATTTATGGCTGCCATCCGTTGTGTGAGCAATCCATACAATTCATCGGCATCCTCGTCACGACCGCGCAGTCTAGCGCAATAAAACACAGACATGCTCTCATCATGGATCGTCCTTGTGTGAAACAATGTCTCTCTCCGCTATGATAACAACTGTCAGATATAGCGGGAGAGGCACTATTTACCTGCTTGTTTGTTTGTCAGTGCAGCCATAATTCATGTTGGCTGGTGTGAAGTGACGTGCGAGCGGATGATAGATGCTTGTCGTTTGGGGTAGGTGGAAAAACGAAAATACGTCATCAGGGGAAGAAAGATGCAATGAGTCATCCGGATGAATGCGTACATGAAAAACTACACCTTTACATCATGCAGTTGCATCTCCATATGTCGGTTTCAACACCTTGGGAAAGGTCCGAGAGGTGGAGTCTCGGCTTCTGCATGGATAATGTGGTGGTTCACAAAGTGGACTTTTGTATAGCTGGTGAGGGCTCTATTCCCTATTCACAATCACCCTGCAATTGATTAACAATTGGTCAATTCCGTTTAGTTGACTCAAAACAATACATGAAATCTATATATCGATCTATCTATACATATATTGTGTGTGTGTGTATATTCTTTGTCCTCTGCCCAGAACAACTATGAGCATTAATTCCTAAGGAAGAATTGCTGCATACTGTGCATCAACACACAAGCAGTACATTACTACGACAAGTACTATGGCTGACATTGACCATCCAGTGAGAGAATGTAGGTCGAGGTTTGCGCATGAGTGAGTGTATGATAGCACACGTATGCTAACCCATTAGCATGCAGCCTGCGTCCTCCTCCGGGCTACCGTCCTTCCACAAATCACATCGTCGCCGCCCTCTCCCGAAACCGTCCTCACACTGGGCTTGCTCCATTTCTCTCTGTGACACATCCTCTAAACTCTCCCATGATGCACTTGGCCTCGAGCTGCGAGTAATTACTCTTTAAAGCTACTGTCAGAGCAACGCCTACAATAAAATGTTCAAAAAAAAAAAAAAAAAAAAAAGAAGTGATAAAACTCCTCCTCCAAAATCAAGACGGAAAACTTTTCCTGGGGCAAAGTAGAAGAATTTTCAAGCGACATTATGGCCATCATTTTGTCTTCCTTCACCGATGGCTAAACCGGTGGATGGTCGTCGAAGAAATATTTACCCTTGTGTTTGATCATTTTCATATTTTGTGTGTCATGTTGTCAAGATCAACAAGTCCATCCTGTCATTGTGAAATGTCATTTAAAATTTGAAATGGTTGTTCAAGGTTAAAGTCAGTTTGCTAACCGACTCGTGTTGCCAAATGAAGTTCCACCATGTGCTCATAAATTGCCAAAAATGTCCACCCTGTCATTGCAAAATATTAAGTGAAGTTCAAAATGTTTTGTTAAGTTGCACAGTCAGCTTGCTGACTCAATCGTGTTACTATGAGCTCATTTAATGCTAGTATTAGCAACAACAACAAAAATATCTCCTCTGTCATTCTCCACCCTGTCAGCAAGCTCAAATATGTTGCAGTTTGCATGTAGGCTTTCTACTTTCTATTACAAACAAAAAGGTTGGGACCCAATATGCATTTTTAACAGCAAAGTCTCAAAAGCACCTTACGATATTGGCTCAAATCATGATGAAAACGACAAATAAACTCAACTACAACATGCTAACATAAAATGGGAAAGTCATATATTCTTTATCCTCTGCGTAGAACGGCTATTATGCCATACTGACAATCTGGGAGGAGATGCAATGTCTCATTGAAGATTGTAGCATTCTCTTTCTCAACACGGCTCCAACACCATATAGAAAATATGCTCATATCCCCACTTTTTTTTCTTTTTCATGACTTTGCCCCTGAAAGATTTGCAGCTTCGTTTCACGCCAAGTTGAACCTTTTCTGTGTCTTTTGCAAAAAAAAGCCTCCTCATCAAGTCACGCTCTTCCACTCGATTGCGTTTTATGGCGAAGGAACTCTCCAGGGTTTTCCTGCTTTCTCCGTTTAAAACTAAGCTTATGTCTTTAGGGTCGAGAAGGATGAAAGATAAGACGATGTGCGACTCATGCCGCATTCGGTAACTGGAAAGTTGAGTTGTGGAGTGAACTAATAGTGCTTATTTGTCTGGTTCCGAGGTAAATAGAGGAAGAAAAATAATGCCGATTAGCAGTAAAACGGGCAATACGTTTGACTTGATCGTAATTGCAAAATCTGCACTCCGCTGTGACTGATGATGTGACTTGATGCGTAAATGGGCCTGCTCAGCGGTTTCTCGTCGTCCCGTGGGTGGCGTGTGCTCGTTTTCTTCTAATAACCTCAACTAAAACATGATGTCAAACTTCATGCAGAAATGCATATAGTTGCGGAGACAGCCAACCCAAGCTTAGTTCAATGGAAATGGAATATGTGGATGGATGCTATGTTGATGCGTCAATTTTGAAGAACCTCTTCGTAAAATTTAAAGAAAAATCTGAAAAAAATTCAACTCTACACCCACGGTGTTCCTCAAGGTTCAACACTAGACCCACTATAATTCAGCAACACTAACAAGTGTAATTAATCGAAAATCCATTTAAAAAAAAAATTAAAATTTAAGTTTTATGACTGAATAAACTTTTTTTTTTAATGTTTTTTCACAACAACTTATCATCCCCACTAAATACACAACACTCGGTTACAAATAGCATGGCTGACGTCATGCCATTCTTGAAACTTAATCAACACACTGGGACTGTGTGTGTAATGAGTCTTGAATGGACATCAGGGGTGAGTGAGTGTGTGTTGCATAAAACACACACCTCTCGCACATCTGCTTAGCATGCGCTTCCTCTGTGTGTGTGTGTGTGTGTGTGTGTGTGTGTGTGTGTGTGTGTGTGCAAACGTAATCACAAAGTGCTGACATGACACTTCGGCGCATTCAGCTGGTCGCAGCACGACACCACACACACACACACACACACACACACACACACACACACACACACACACACACACACACACACACACAGAGCTAGAAAATGCGTGTGTGACCGTGATGGCGCTATTTGTCTTCTCTTGCTTTTAAGCAATAAAAAGCCCACAGTGGTCACACGGGTTCAACTAAACAAAACAGCGCAAGTGCACGGTTGCAAATCCGGCCTGTGAGCAAACAGCTGCAGGTTCGATACCTCTATCCCTGATCCCTACTCAAAGCTGAAGTGCACTACAACAACGCACAAAAAATAATGCAGAAAAGATGGGTAGTACACTTTAAAATTAGCTATCTAAGAATATGCATGAATAAAGTTCATGCACTGAACCCAAACAACATAATGCAGTAATTTATTTATATTAGCTTATAAAAAAATACTGAACTCAGAAATTGATTTGCAGAATGTGTAAAAATATAAAAAATGAGCAATCTAATAAATATATACACAATCAGAATTTTTTTAGGTTATTATGAAATGTACTGTGATTAAAACAAAAAAAATTAAAACAAGCATATTTGGCAGGCAAGTATAAAAGAATGAAAGACAAAAAAAGGATAAAAATGTAAATAATTTCAGGCCCTTGTAAAATAACAAAAATATGTATTGTAATCAGTAATCCAAAAATTCATCAATCTGCACATTCAGTCGTGTATGAACCATGAACTGAAATAAAGAAAAATGGCAAATAAATGTGTAATTAAAAAAAAACAACAAAAAAAAAAGCCCAAATAAAACCCAAATACAGGAATTAAAAATAAAAATGCAATCATGTTCTAATACTTAGATTCACATTCAAAACAAAAAATCATAAACATTCAAAAATTGACCAAGTCGAAAATATTTGTTTGGATCAAATATGCTATGCTCAAAAAAATAGCAGTGCAACGCTAAAGATTGTTCCTATAGTGGGATGCTTGATGACAGCTGCGGCAGCCCATGAGCAAGGCATCACCGTCTGTGTGTTTACCCCCCACAGTTTAACGATATCTGAATACATGCGAAGAACACAAGTATGCCAAAATAAGTTCAAGTGCACTCACCTCGAACAAGGGTCCGATTTTGTTCCTCTCCAGATAGGACTGAATCCTGGACTGTTGCGGAGACGCCATGGAGAAAGTGCCGAGGGGGTGGGAGACTGCCGGGAGAGGGGGGGTGTTGGGGTGGGGATCTCCCGTCCCTCTCTGAAGAGCTTTCAGCGGGATGAGTTCTTCCGCTGAGCCACCGCCGTCATTCGTCCTTCAGGCGTGGAAGACCAGACGGAGCGCTGGCTGCCGCCGCCTGACCGCCACAAGCTCCTCACAGCCCGGATCATCTCCGGCTCGCTCCCTCTCGCTTTAGGCGGCAGCGAGCATCCCCACAAGCGGCGGAGGTTTCCAAGTCTTCACGCCACCCTCTCTGGATGCAAGCACGCGTGGACTGACCGCTCTCCGCGTCGACCCCATGCCCACCTACCCAATTCTCTCTCTCTCTCCCTCTCTCGCACGCGCGCTTTCTACCCCACGCATGCGCGCCACAGCGCCGCACATTAATAAGACACCCTGCTTAATTTGCTAATTAATATTCATAAACTGAACTCACCTCACAGGATGTCCGCAACTCGTCCAAACTCGGCATCAATTAGTACAACATGTTGGTCATGAGCCAGCCGACAGCGGGCACGTCATTAGATACACCTGCGGGATCCATTAGAGAAAATCAAGTTCGGTTGACTGAAAATCAAGACATATTTTACTTGAGGTCAGATATACAGTTGGTCCCAAGCAACAACAGATTTTTATTTTTTAGGCCAATGCGGTTTCAAGTATTTTGCAGAATAAAATTCCCATAACCGAATCAACAGATTAATTGAAAATCTATATGTATTGAATTAAATAATTCTTTGAATCCCCTAATGCTTGCAAGAATAAAGATATGTATGACATGCAGAGGTGTAGGGTTCAATTCCGGATCCCCGTGCCTGCGTGGGTTTCTCCGGGTAGTCCGGTTTCCTCCCACATTCCAAATACATGCATGGCAGGTGAATGGAAATTGTCCCAAGGCGCCACTGTGAGTGTGCTTCGTTGTTCGACTCTGTGTGTCCTGCGATTGGTTGGCAACCAGTTCAGGGTGACCCCGCCTACTGCCGGAAGACAGTTGGAATTGGCTCCCGCACACCTGCGACCCTCGTGGAGGCTAAACGGATTAGAAAATGCATGAATGGAATAATTACTTTCTGAAAACCAGCACACCTGAGACCCTCGTGAGGCTAAGCGGATTAAAAAATGCATGAATGGAATAATTACTTTCTGAAAACCTACCTCGAGTCATATATTCAAAATAACATTTCTCAAAATCAAAACTTACACGGTGGAGCTTTGAGATAATTAAGCCTATCTGCTCATCAAATAAAACAAAACAAACATTTGTCTGTAAATAAAGAAAAATAGCATTTTATAATATTGTACTTTGTAAAAACATTCAGCAACAACATATTGAAATGTTTGTAAATAATTCAACATTTTTTTAAAAACATTTTGCTTCAATTCACTGGACACCGTGCTGCTCCTTCTGGTTCTGTGCACTTTAGCCACCTGGGGGCAGTCTAACCCAACTCCTAACTGACTTTTGCATTTTATTATCATGCAACAACAACAAAAAAAAAACAACATTCCATTCTCCAATATGATATTATACTGTATATTATATATATATTTATACATGGTGTATACATGAATTTATAATATATTGGACTTTAAAAAAAAAAAAACTAGCTTATTGGCGCTGTTTTTAGCTTGCATAGTCGTGAGCTACCATTGGTGGTAATATGCAATCTATATGTGTGGAACCTGAGTAATGCAATAAAAAAAAAAAAAAGGAAAAAAAAAAACCTTAATACTGATACACTATTGGAAAGAATCATCATCATAAAAAAACAAAAACATATTTACACCATATCTAGAGGAACATATTCAAGACGCAGGTTTCAAACGTAAAAAAAATAACAGTATGCTTTTTAAAAAAATTCCATTTACACTACACTCTAGACATATTTATATGCGTATGTATAAAAACAAGCCGATTGGGTTTTTCCTGTTTTCCGCTTGCAGTGCATTATGGGTCGCCATCAGGGGGCGGAGGCTGGCACAGCTTATACAACCTGAGGAAAGAAAAAGGGGATATTATTCAAATCGGACTTTTTCATAGATTGTTCACAAAGAGTCGGGTGTCCTGTTTTCACCTCGGCGCAGACGACGGGGTCCGATCCCTCACCCCAAGATTCTTCGCAGAGTTCTGAACTCTGGCACCCTAAAAAGAGAGAAGACAACGAGGCACACCAAGAAATACTGATGAACTGTCAACAA